ATCAACGATTGATGCTCCCTTTTGATTTCTACTTTCGCGGTGTCGCGAATAGCTCAAGGATCATATCTATCCCTGATATGTTATAGTTCATCACGAAGCTCTAGTAGCTTGGTGGCAGTGACTTTGGAGAACCATCACTATTTCATCTGGAAGATCAACTCCCACTCGATTCAAGTGATTGTTGTACTCAGACAATCTGAGCACAAGCTCAAGATTGAGCTTTTCTCCCTTATTATGCAGGCTAAGAAAATCGTCGGAGGTCTTATACCTCTTGACGTGGGCACGAGCCTGAAATCCCAATTTCAGTCCTTGGAACATCTCATATGTTCTGCAATGTTTCAAAAACGCTTTTGGTGCCTCAATTCTAAACCATTTAGCATTACGCACTGAACTATCATGTAGTCATCAAAACGTGTATGTCAGATGTTCGCAACATCCACAGACGACGTTCGAGGTTCAGCACACTGAGCGGTGCATTAAGAACATAAGCCTTCTACTGTCTGCATAATTGCTACTATCAACTTTCAACTATTTTTTTCTCTAGGAACATATCTAAATAGTAGAACTGAAGCGCGAGCTACGACATAATTTGCGAAGACCTTTTGACTATGTTCAGGATAATTAAGTTCATCTTATGAACTCCCACTCAGATAGATATCCCTCTAGTCATCTAAGTGATACATGATCCGAATCAACTAGGCCGTGTCCGATCATCACGTGAGACGGACTAGTCATTATCGGTGAACATCTCATGTTGATCGCATCTTCTATACGACTCATGTTCGACCTTTCGGTCCTCCGTGTTCCGAGGCCATGTCTGTACATGCTAGGCTCGTCAAGTTAACCTAAGTGTTTTGCATGTGTTCCGAGGCCATGTCTGTACATGCTAGGCTCGTCAACACCCGTTGTATTCGAACGTAAGAATCTATCATACCCAATCATCACGTGGTGCTTCGAAACGACGAACTTTCGCAATGGTGCACAGTTAGGGAGAAGACTTCTCTTGAAATTTTAGTGAGGGATCATCTTATCTAAGCTACCGTCGTTCTAAGCAAATAAGATGTATAAACATGATAAACATCACATGCAATCAAATAGTGACATGATATGGCCAATATCATATTGCTCCTTTTGATCTCCATCTTCGGGGCTCCATGATCATCATCGTCACCGGCATGACACCATGATCTCCATCATCATGATCTCCATCATCATGATCTCCATCATTGAGTCTCCATGAAGTTGTCTCGCCAACTTATTACTTCTACTACTATGGCTACCGGTTAGCAATAAAGTAAAGTAATTACATGGCGTTGTTCAATGACACGCAGGTCATACAATAAATAAAGACAACTCCTATGGCTCCTGCCGGTTGTCATACTCATCGACATGCAAGTCGTGATTCCTATTACAAGAACATGATTAATCTCATACATCACATATCATTCATCACATTCTTCTTGGCCATATCACATCACATAGCATACCCTGCAAAAACAAGTTAGACGTCCTCTAATTGTTGTTTGCATGTTTTACGTGGCTGCTATGGGTTTCTAGCAAGAACGTTTCTTACCTACACAAAAACCACAACGTGATATGCCAATTGCTATTTACCCTTCATAAGGACCCTTTTCATCGAATCCGATCCGACTAAAGTGAGAGAGACAGACACCCGCTAGCCACCTTATGCAACTAGTGCATGTCAGTCGGTGGAACCAGTCTCACGTAAGAGTACGTGTAAGGTCGGTCCGGGCCGCTTCATCCTACAATGTCGCCGAATCAAGATTGGACTAGTAACGGTAAGCATATTGAACAAAATCAACGCCCACAACTACTTTGTGTTCTACTCGTGCATAGAAACTACGCATAGACCTAGCTCATGATGCCACTGTTGGAGAACGTAGCAGAAATTCAAAATTTTCTACGCATCACCAAGATCAATCTATGGAGAAGTCTACCAACGAGGGAAGGAGAGTGCATCTACATACCCTTGTAGATCGCTACGCGGAAGCGTTCAAGTGAATGGGGTTGATGGAGTCGTACTCGTCGTGATCCAAATCACCGATGATCCTAGTGCCGAACGGACGGCACCTTCGTGTTCAACACACGTACAGCCCGGTGACGTCTCCTACGCCTTGATCCAACAAGGGGAGAAGGAGAGGTTGGGGAAGACTCCATCCAGCAGCAGCACGACGACGTGGTGGTGGTGGAGGAGCGTGGTACTCCAGCAGGGCTTTGCCAAGCACCGCAAGAGACGAGGAGGGAGAGGGGTAGGGCTGCACCAAGAAGGAGATTGAATCGTGTCTCTGGCAGCCCAAAACCTCAAATATATATAGGGGGAGGGGAGGGGCTGCGCCCCCACCTAGGTTTCCACCCCTAGGGGTGGCGGCCAGCCCTAGATCCCATCTAGGGGGGTGGCCAAGGGGGAGAGAGGGGGGCGCACCACTAGGTGGGCCTTAGGCCCATATGAGCCTAGGGTTTGCCCCCTTCCACTCTCCCTTGCGCCTTGGGCCTTGGTGGGGGGGGGGGGCGCACCAGCCCACCTGGGGCTGGTCCCCTCCCACACTTGGCCCATGCATCCCTCCGGGGCTGGTGGCCCCACTTGGTGGACCACCGGGACCCTCCCGGTGGTCCCGGTACATTACCGATAAAACCCGAAACTTTTCCGACGACCAAAACAGGACTTCCCATATATAAATCTTTACCTCCGGACCATTCCGGAACTCCTCGTGACGTCCGGGATCTCATCCGGGACTCCGAACAACATTCGGTAACCACGTATATCTATTCCCTATAACCCTAGCGTCATCGAACCTTAAGTGTGTAGACCCTACGGGTTCGGGAACCATGCAGACATGACCGAGATAACTCTCCGGTCAATAACCAACAGCGGGATTTGGATACCCATGTTGGCTCCCACATGTTCCACGATGATCTCATCGGATGAACCACGATGTCAAGGACTTAATCAATCCCGTATACAATTCCCTTTGTCTATCGGTACGATACTTGCCCGAGATTCGATCGTCGGTATCCCGATACCTTGTTCAATCTCGTTACCGGCAAGTCTCTTTACTCGTTCCGTAACACATCATCCCGTGATCAACTCCTTGATCACATTGTGCACATTATGATGATGTCCTACCGAGTGGGCCCAGAGATACCTCTCCGTTTACATGGAGTGACAAATCCCAGTCTCGATTCGTGCCACCCAACAAACACTTTCGGAGATACCTATAGTGTACCTTTATAGCCACCCAGTTATGATGTGACGTTTGGCACACCCAAAGTATTCCTACGGTATCCGGGAGTTGCACAATCTCATGGTCTAAGGAAATGATACTTGACATTAGAAAAGCTTTAGCATACGAACTACACGATCTTTGTGCTAGGCTTAGGATTGGGTCTTGTCCATCACATCATTCTCCTAATGATGTGATCCCGTTATCAACGACATCCAATGTCCATGGTCAGGAAACCGTAACCATCTATTGATCAACGAGCTAGTCAACTAGAGGTTTACTAGGGACATGGTGTTGTCTATGTATCCACACATGTATATGAGTTTTCTATCAATACAATTCTAGCATGGATAATAAACGATTATCATGAACAAGGAAATATAATAATACTCAATTTATTATTGCCTCTAGGGCATATTTCCAACAATTGCCCCTATGCTCCTACAACTTGTTAGTACCAGAAACCGTAACAGGAGAACTGTCCAGCACACCTCATCAATAACTCATAGACGGATGATGTCCAGGGCGAGCTTTCCTTCATGGGCCACATGCAAGTTTACCAGCTCTGCCAAGCCATCGCCACGGTGGAGAGGAACATCCCGGTGCCTGACCCTTTTGAGTGACTTTGTGTTGCGTCTGGGAAATACACTTCTAGTTCGACATACAAGAGACTCTGCATGGGGCACATCCAGTTCACCACAGCGGCTGCATTTGGCAAAGTTAGGCTCCACTAAAATGCAAGATTTTCATGTGGTTGGCCAACCAATACCGTCTTTGGATGTTTGATTGTTGTGCTCGTCATGGATTACGAGATGCCCCTTCGCCTTGCTACACTTGCCTACAAGATGAAGAGAATGTTGACCATATCTTGGCCCTCTGCGGTTACGCAAGAGAAGTGTGGCATTCGTGCTTTCATGCGCTGAGAATCAACATCCAAGCTCCGTCCACGGAAGTAACATTCATAGAGTGGTGGCTACACCAACGACTGCGTTTCAACAGGAAGATGCGAAGAGGATTCGACTTCATAACCATAGAAATTGCTTGGGCTCTTTTGAAAGAATGTAACACAAGAGTGTTCAACAACATCTCGAGACAGAAAACAGTGCCACAACTCAAGACGAAAATACTTGACGAGATTGATGAATGGAGGAAGGCCGGTCTGAGCGGCGTTGGTGTTTTAGATCCTCTCGTGAGAGAGTAGTCTTCATGTATCTAGGGTGCAAGCCTGGGTCTGTTGGCTACCTACGAGATGTTCGCATCATGTTAGGGCTCATGTACATAACTATCTGCTTTCTGTAAAAATATGATACGTCATTGATATACTCTTGAAAAAAAAAGTGTAGAGGCTCTTTAGGAACACGACGAGCCGATAGACAGCGTGCAAACGACCGAAGCGTCCCAAGTGTTCCTACACGGTGGACTTTTGCGGGGGTCGCTCACGAGACGAATGGATCATTTCACACACTTCGCCGTGTGCGCGAATCACCCACCCCCACCCCCACTTTGCGAGTCCACTCGATCGCTCGGCAGCCAAAGCCAGCCCGACACCTGTCCCACCGTCCCCCTCCCGGCTATAAAACCCGGCCACCGCCCGAGCTCCCCGGACAACGCCGCATAATTGTGTCCGCCGCCGGCTCCCGGGACACCCCACAGCGCACAGACAACCCAAGGCCTAGCACCACTCTCGTTGTCTAGCGCCTGCCGGCCGGCCGCGCCGCTCGCATCGATCCAAGCCGACGCGCGCGCGAGGGCTTCTGCATGATAAGGAGGAGGATGGGGGCACTGCACGTCGGCGAGCCGCGGGTCAGCTTCCAGCAGCAGGTCGGCAAGAACGGCGGGGGCCACGGCGCCGTCGTGGAGGAGATACACGGGCTCATCCGCGTGTACAAGGACGGGCACGTGGAGCGCCTCCCGGCGATCCCCGACGTGCCCTGCACGTGGGGCTCGACGGCCGCCGGGAGCGGCGTCCTCGCGCGCGACGTGGCGGTCGACCGCGCCACGGGGGTGTGGGCGCGCCTGTACGCGCCGGCCGCCGCGGCGGGGAAGGTCCCCGTGGTGGTCTACTTCCACGGCGGCGGGTTCAGCGTCGGCTCCGCGGCGTGGAGCTGCTACCACGAGTTCGTCGCCCAGCTCCCCGCGCGGGCGGGCTGCGCCGTGATGTCCGTCGACTACCGCCTGGCGCCGGAGAACCGGCTGCCCCCGGCCTTCGACGACGGGCTCACGGCGCTGCGGTGGCTGCGGCAGCAGGCGGGCAGAAACAACGCCGCCGCCTCCGACGAGGTCTCCTGGTGGCGCGGCCGGTGCAGGTTCGACCGCGTGTTCCTGATGGGCGACAGCGCGGGCGCCGCCATCGCGTTCCACGTCGCGGCGCGGGCCGGGCAGGGCCAGCTGGGCGCGCTGGCGCCGCTCTCGGTGAAGGGGGCCGTACTGATCCAGCCCTTCTTCGGCGGGGAGGCCCGCACGGCGTCGGAGAAGAGCATGCCGCAGCCAGCGGGGTCGGCGCTGAGCCTCTCCACCTCGGACAGCTACTGGCGCATGGCGCTCCCGGCGGGCGCCGGGCGCGACCACCCCTGGTGCAACCCGCTGGCCCGCGGCGCGCCCCGGCTGGAGGCCCTGGCGCTGCCGGCCGTGCTGGTGTGCATCTCGGAGGCGGACATCCTGCGCGACCGGAACCTGGAGCTGTGCAGGGCGCTGCGCAAGGCCGGCAAGAGCGTGGAGCAGGCGACGTACGGCGGCGTGGGGCACGCCTTCCAGGTGCTCCACAACTGCCACCTGTCCCAGCCGCGCACGCAGGAGATGCTCGCCCACATCCGGGCCTTCGTCAGCGCCAGGTCCAGCTGACAGGCAGACACCACTCCTCCGCCGTGCCATGTCAGTGTCACCCGCCGATTAATTACTTAATCCACTACCAGTTCCAGAGTAGATGCCGTGTAAGCAGTATTAGCAGTAGCTTGTGGTACTCGCCCAAGTGAAGGAAAAGACAAGAAGAAAAGGGTCCAATGCCGAACTTGGATCGTGGTGTCGGAAAGCAAAAGTGTGGCGCAAAAATAACACTTTCTCCATGTATGTATGTGTATCGTGTTGTTCATTGTACTCCTACTTACTTGCAAAGGCGGATCAATATATATATATATATTATTATTATTACTACTGCTTGTCTTGTTTAAGTAACAACTCGGCTGACGGTGTTGCATGATGAGGGAAGCAAGAAAAGGCTCCGGGAACAAAAAATCATTGTCTGCTTGTCTGGCGCTTTGCGCTTTGCACTAGCCCCTTCTTTTTTTCTATGTTTCCCGTCGCTGCTTTGGGAAGGTTCAGGCTTTGCTTGCTTGCTTGATGATGGAGCCCGGGACTTGTCTAAGCAGCGCAATCATCAGCCGGCTAGATTTTAGGCTGGCACATGCACCTGGTAAGAACAGAATAGAATCTCGGATACGTTTCCCGATGGGAGGCCGGCCATCACATGAGCCCCAACCGCAGCGCAACGACACAAGTGCGGTGCGACCGGGCGCTAGTGCCGCTGCTGCAATGATGCATCAGACAAGCCTGTCGATCACTGTAAGGAAGCCTCGAGTGTATATGTTTTCTGCGGCTTGTAAACTGGAAGGCACGCAGCGCTCTTGTTGTTGTTGTACGTGGTATCATTGCTTGGTTGCCTGTCTCACCAACCACATCATGGCGGCCGGCAAACAATCGCGTGCAAGCAGGCCAACATCATGCGTGATCATCTGAGAAGAGACTCGAGCGGCAGCATTGGGAAGTCTAGCCACAAAGCACATGATAGATAATAAGTCAGTTGCTTGGTCGCCCGCGGAATGATAGACTGAGACCATGCATATGTGTTGAGTGTTGTTTACATACAAATTTTAATTCCTTACCAAACGCATCGAATACATTATGTTTTAGGGGTTGCTCGGTTGGTTGGTTCGCAGAAGAAGTACTAGAGAAAACATAGGAATATGAAATTCTATTTCATTAGCACTATTCCTAGGCTTTAAAGGAATGAAACCGAAGAAAAGTGAGGGGGATTTCTTTTAATCTGACTCCCGGAGAAAAAAGACATAAATTTTAACATCAGCTTGGACCTTGCTATCGAGAATATTGCGTGTCGGAGTCGACCCCTAAAATTTGTTGTTGAAAGGAATTGTGTCGGTATATGTTGTCCAAGAAACAATTGACTACAACGAGAAGAATGAAGACAACGAGAAGGCGTAGTTCTTTCCGTTTGTTTCAT